TTTTTAATGCTGCAATTTTGTTCTTATTTAATTTTCTTTTCAGTGGAAAGAAAGGAACAGCAGCACTTGAATATATCTTCCCCCTGTCTGGATGTAGAGCCCCACTGCTCTTTACGAGGAAGGATAGATTTTACAATGGAGATGCCTTACAGACCATCTAGTCTCAGAAAATAACCTGATAAATTAGTACCAGTTAAATTTATGTTGTCATTTGGCATTTCTTTTATGCTTCTTTTTTATTTTATTTAAAGGAGAAAAAACAACAAAACAGTATAAGGGTACAAGTAATACAGAATTTCAAAAAAAAATAAACAGCAAGAAATCACTAGTTAATAGATTACATATTGTCATCTTAGAAATAGTTGTTCAAGTTACAGGATTAAAGCATACAAAATGGACATTCAAACAGTGAGACTGCAAACAGTTGTGTTCAATAATCCAACAAAAACTTAGTACTATGGTCATCTATCTTAACACACCTAAACACACTTGCAGTTGTATCCTTTAGAGCACTTTCTTTCCTCTCTTTTTTACAACAACATTTACACATTTTGTGTTTTATTACTCCCATAGTTCTTATTACTTTTCTTTGGAAGAGAATAAAACTAAATATGACAAAACAAAGCAGTCAGTCAAAACAAAGGATGGGCATAGTACATGATGTAAAAACAGAGTACAAGGTGATCACCAATGGTTACCATAATGCCTCTTGCTACCTTAAAAAGAATTGCCTATATCATCAGGTATAATAAAATTGAACAAAACAGTACAGAACAAGACCAATAAACCTAAACATTGGAGACATTACAGGACTTCAAAAGAGATAATAGTCAAACCAGAATGGGCATCAGAGTGAATGTTACTGTAGGCCTTCAAAGTAGTTGCCCTCAAACTTGATACTATCAAACAGAACAAAACAGAGTAAAATCAGTCAAAACAAGATGGTGGGAGCAATACAGGGCTTCAAATCGAGTTAATAGGAAATCAAAAAAGTTACTATAATACATCCTGCTAATTAAGGAACCATTGTGTGTTTTCCGTTAGCTGGTTCTAAATACCCTGTAATACTTTCATCCTCTTGAATGGTTTCACATTGCCTTGATATGTTTGAAGCCATAGTATACAAAGTTACACTCAAATAGTTCAAGGAAAGAGACACTATGGTAACTACTATTAAGTCGGGTTATCTTGTGATGAAGCATAGGTTGCTGAAATTGTTATTCTTTGACCTGTATTGTTATGTTGTTATGTACTCTTTTATCTCAATATCCCCCTTTTTTAAAAAATTATGTATTTTTTATTTTTTTAATTAAGGGAAAAAATCTTTTATGCTTCTTAATGTAAATTGCTAGATATTTGCAACTCTAGGTTGGAATGTTATTATTTTGTCTTAAGAATGATTAAAAATTTTGCATATAAATGCTGTTAACTATTAAACCATCATATATTTTTCCCAAATTATTATCTGCCTTTTAGTTTATAACATTTTGCCTTATGGATTTATGTTACTATTTTGTCAAATACACTACTTTTCCTCTCCTGAATTTTTTTCCATCTGTAGAGATGGGTTATCTACCATGAACTCTAAACTATGTTAACCTACATTTCTTGTTCTTTTGTGTTTTTAAATTGGCTCTTTAATCTCTTCAGAGTTAAATCAAAGACTATATGTTTTATTTCCTGGAGGTTTTTTTAACAGTAGTTTTTTGTCACTTGTAACATATCATACCATGAATCTGTTACATATCTTTCACATATCACATATGTACATACCAGTGATTCTGAACTAGAAGTAAGTTGACCCTCTAGGAGACACTTAAGTGTCTGTAGACCCTTTTATTTACAAGGGTACAGGAGAGCATAGCTACAGGTCTTTACGGACTGGGAGACAAACTTGATGCTAGATACCCTATAGTGTATGGGCAGCCCCCACAACAAAGAATTGTCAGTAGCTCTAAGATTAGAAGACTTGGTGAGTGTGTGGATCAGTGTATGGATGGATGGATAGATGGACCACAGATGGACAGACAGATATTCAGTAGGTACCATTCTTCTGGCAGTTCCATACTCTGCCAATAATAATATTACCCAGCCAGTATTTCTATTTCCTGCACTAAAAGGCATTTTAAGAGAGTTTGCTTCCCTTAGAAGAAACCCAGGTGCACCACATTTTCAGGGATGCCCAGTCTGTTTTAAAAGCTCCCGGCATCCTAGCTTTAGAGCACAGCTTCTGCATTACATTGTGTCAGCTGAAGCAGAAACCTAGGACAGGCTGCACAGTGTGTTCAGTTTCCTCGTGTGGCAAAGGAGGCTTGTGATCTTTATCCCAAGGTGACATGGATGTTAGGGCACCCACAGCAGTGCCTGGGACAAAGTAAACATAGAAGTGTTTGATAAAGATAGTGTCTTGTTTTCAATGAACCTCAATAATTCCTTTTCACTTGTACTATTGAAAATTGCAGTTTTGAAATCCATCGCAGAATTTTGCTAAGGATCAGTTTGAAGTAGGGGTGTGACAGAGGTGAGAGAAGAAACACACCGCTTGACTGTCACCCCTTGGCACACAGCATGGGCCCATCAGAGTGCCAGCTCTGTGCTCTGTGTTTATTGTCTGACTTTGCCAAAAAATAAAAATAAAAATAAAGCTTGCAGGTTTCTTTGTAGGCAGATACGCTTATTTTTTCCATTTATGGAAACCATTATTTTTGTTTTATGTTATTTTTTAGTTTGGCACTCCCCAGCCTTGGAGATTGAACCACATACTTAGCACACATGCTCTGCCACTGAGCTATACCCCTAGCTCAGGAAAAAATTTTTTCTTGTGTTACTGAGTGTTGAACACGGGTCCTTCATACTAAGTAACATCCACAGCCCTTTTGTATTTTTTATTTTTTTATTTTGAGACAAGGTCTTGTTGATTTACCCAGGCTAGGCTCAGACTTGTGGTACTCCTGCCCAGCCTTCCACAGTGCTGCTGAGATGACAGGCGAGCACTGTCGCTCCCAGCTAGAACCATTGTTTTGCATAGAGATTGTCTTTGTTCTGAAATTTAGTGCTATCTGTGGATGTCTCTTGTGTTAAAATTGACTTCATTTTATTAACTTGTGTTAAACACTTTTAGGCCAACATCTAAACACTGTGTTTATTGTGATTTTTTAACTAGGTAGGTAGTTCTTCTGTATGTACTCACGCACTTGATTATTATTATGTTGTATCTATTCTCTCTTCTTCCTTCCCTCCCTTTCCCCTCCTCTTTTGCGTCAGATCCAGGACTCAGCCATACTGGGCATACTGTGCCCCTGACCTCTACCCCCAGCTCTTTGCTGTCTGTCTAACACGGTCCCCTTTATATCACCACTGTTCAATGAATTTTCTTTGAGGATAGAAATACTCTAGTCTGCACAATTCAATATGGTGGGCACTGTTGACAACTTGAAACGTGGCTAAGACAATTGAGAAACTGAGGTTTTCAAGTCGATGTTTTCATTACTTATCATTGGCCATTATTTAAGCAGGCAGATGTAGATAGTAGCTGTGTATTAGACACCACCACTTTCAAGTAACTCATCTTCCATTTTTAGTTTGAAATCCTGTTTCATCTTACTTTGAACCTGTGTTACTGAGTATGACGCATGAATCTTTGTCTTAATGTGTGTATATATTCCAGTGATTCAGTTATTTTTACTTCATTTAAAATGTTTTCCTTCTAGTAATAACGAATATTCATAGATGATTCTGATTATGTGCATAGATTCCTGTTTGTAGATTACTTCTATATTTAATGTCTATACTCAAAATTAGATATTTGCTTTTCTTTAATATTTTTGCAAGTAAAAATATCACAGTTGTCATTGAAAAAACAATTGTCATTGTAAAAAAAAAAAACAAGTAAAATAACAAACAGTATAAACAAGGAAAGGAAAATCACCTTCATGGCATAAAGAAGGATTACATCCTACTCACATGTCCACACATACCTAGGGTCAGGCTTGGTTCAATTTATTTTATACATGATACATTGTTTTATTTTTAAACTCTTTACTAATTGTACAGGTACTACATGTTTATTGATAGAAAAAAATGAAAAAAAAAACTTGAAGACTAAAGCAAAACAAAAGGCTAAGATTAAGCCCTGGAGTAAACACTTTATTCTTTTTGTTTGTTTTCTTCCATTATTGTGTTTAAGATCCACAGGCAAACAGATGTGCAGGTAAATACGCAGATAGATAAACAGCCAGACAGGCATATTTTAAGAAATTGCATTGTGCCATAGATATCCAGGGCATGCCAATAAATGTACATGTACCTTTTGGATGAAAATCAAACAAGTATACACATTACTGTGGGTTTGTATCATCCTCAGTGGGATAAGTGAAGATCTATTGTTTTTTACATGGTAATACTAAGTACTGGTTAACATTTACTCACTGAATCTACCAATTCATTAATTTTACTTTGCTTTTTATATCAGAATTTTCCTACAGGATAAAATAAAACTCATGAACATTATTTTAACGGCTGCATCATAGGTCACTGATTATAGCTACACACCATACCTTATCACGGGACATACAGGATTTTTTTTTTATTCCTAAAACCTCAATGCACTTTACATATTAGTGGCTTAAGCTTTTCATCTCTGATTATTTCCTTAGGGCACATTCTTAGAAATGAAATCACTGGACCAAATGAAATGGACAGATTTAAGATGCTTGATATATATCGACAAATCACTTCAAGAAAGTTCTTTGTTGCTTATAGGACAAAATAAATAATCATGTCCTATTTCTACCCTTTAATCATTTTATGAAGCTTTTCTTTGAACCTTTAAGCTCTCTTTGGTTTAGGACTCAGAATTGTCTTTTAATAAATGTTTCTTTCAAGGGATTAACAAAGTAATCACTTTGTTATAAATATCTAAACAATGTAACTCTCCTGCTTTTTCTCAGTAAAAGTTTTCAGACACAGCATTTTTCATTGTATAAATTGTTTCTTTCCAGGGTGAACAAGGAGCCAAAGGAGACTCAGGTCTGGCTGGCCCTAAGGGACAAGATGTAAGTCTAAGTCTTTTTTTCCTAGTAGTCTGTTTACATTTTGCTGCTGAAATATCTACTGCTATTAAGATCTGACTATCTTGGCAGAACTAGCTACAATAAAACAAAGTTAAGAATCAAGACAGTTTTCTTTTACATGACATCTTAGCAGCATACTGTTTTTAGTTTCATTGTGTATTTTTTCTTTTGGCTTTAAATTTTGTATTTGTGCTTACCCTTAACAACCTTTTCTTCCTTGCTGTTTTGAGTTGCTTTGAAAAAAAAAGTCTTCCTTTCTCTCTTCTTTCTTACACACATCATATTCTGTCCTGGGTGGGTGATTTCTCTTCCATCTCTCCCCAAATGGCATTGGAGGCAGAGGTCTGCAATGCTTAGATTAACATAACGAAAAGGAAGGAAAGCTACAGTGGCACCTGAGTGCTCATGATTAGTTCTTGTGGAAGGTGTGGTAAGTACCCCAAACTGCAAGGACCAAGCAGGTGGTTTTGCTGGAGAGGCTAACCACTCACAGGGCAGTTATCATGGACAAATTCTAGCTTGCACATTGAGTATCAAGCAAACGGTGTGTCCTGGGACAATGTTTTCACAGCATGTCATAATCAAACTGGATGCGTTCCAACACAGCCGAGTCCCAAGGTACGACCATCTCAATCACTAGCTCCTCCATTCACCTGAGAAATGCCTCCATCAGTCACATCCTTGACCCCCAGCATCTACTTGCCTGTCCCCCCAGGATAATTATCCCTCTTCCTAGCTAGAATATCATTCCAGCTCTTAGGCTGAAACTAATTCTAAAATAGCCAAGTCTGAGTTTTCCTCTGAAATGTGACCTTATTTCAGCTCACCAAACTCAGCATTTGCTGTGCTTATGCCAAATGTAGCAAAGGAGGAACGGCCCAAAATGAGTTATTTTCCCCTCAGGTTCTTTTTCTCACTTACATGAATCATTTTTTTAAAAGGATCTAAAGGTCACACGACCGCTTTATACATAAAAGAACAAGAAAACAGTATGCGCTGCTGTGTTCAGGCCTCTCCCCCAAGAGGTGCTGCAAAAATGTCTGTATGAGTAAATCACTACAGTGTAAATGGAAACTGAAGTCTAATCTGTGGAGGAAGCAGAAAGGATCCTTGGGGGAGAGGGTTCTCCAGGAGAAAACACCCCAGGAGTGAACCCCAGTAGTTAACAGTACTAACCCAACACACATGCACATGTACACAGTTCTATTCCTCCTTACTTCCCAGGAAGCACCGTAACTGTCTTCACTAGGCCCCTCATTCATGTTCCTCTCTATTTGAAGTGAGTTTCTTCTGCCTGAGAGTGGGCTGTGCACCCATGTCCTGTGCGTGGAGAGGTCTGCGTCTTCTCTGCCACCTGAACACTCATATTTAAACAGAGCATGTCCCAGGCTGCTCCTCCCATTATGATGCCCCATGGGGCATGAATGCAGGGTCTGGAGGCCTTGTCTTGTCCTCATTATGTTGCTAGAGTTTGTAAAGGAATAGAATGGTTTCTAAGGTCCTCGTCCCCATCCTGGATACAGAGAAACATTAAGATTACAGACTTGAAAAGTATGATTAGATGTGAAGCAATCATTCAGGTTTTTTGAATCCAGGCCATGTTTGAGGCACTGTAAACCAGAATAAGGCAGAGACAGGGCAAAGATTTGCAAACTGGATGTGAGGGCACTTATCCTGCTATGAACAGAGGGGAAATATGGTTCAGGCAGTGTTTAAATGAAGCCATTCTATGGTGAGTTCTACATTAATAGTCTGGGTTTGCTGTTCTTTCTGTTGTCCTCTCCATGAAAGCAAAGACTCTGTTAGAATTGCTGGTACTTAGTGTAGGGTAGGTTTTCAGTAACAATTCTTTGAATTTTAATTTGATAAACTGAGCAGTTTATTGTAATAAAGTACAATTAAAGATAGCCTAAACTTGGATGACACCCTAAGGGATGGTGCAGAGAGTGATGTTATAGAGGTAAAATATATATAATTTGACATTTCAAAAATATTTCAATGTTTAGATCATTATGAAAAGAATATTAGCTTGAGTATTTGTCACTTTCTGGTCATTGAGACAAATATCCAACACCTGCAATTTAAAGAAGTAGAGGTTTATTTTTGGTTTACTGCTTCAAAGGATTCAGTCCATCGTCAGTTAGCTCCAAATCAGAAACAGCATGGTGGAAGGGCTTGGCAGAGGAAAACTTCTCAGCCCATAGCAGTCGGGAAGCAGGGAATGGAGCTTCTGGGATAAGAATGCACCTTCCATATCACACCCTAGTAACCCATCCCATCCAACCAGGACCCACTTCTGATGAGCTTTGAACTCTTCATTGGACTGATCCACTGATAAGTATAGCAGCTCCATAATCCAATCACCTTCCAAAGACATAAGAATTGGGGAGGCATTTTTAAAAATCTAAATCATGACAACTTGTGAGAAATGTAAGAGCATCCAAAGAAATGATTCATAATTTTGCAAAGGATAACAAAGCTCTATACTTGGGGATCTGAACATAGATAAGCAAAACAAAGATTTTTAGTTCATAAAAAAAGTGCTTAAATAGAGACATAGAAATTTGCCAAAACATTTGACTAAAACTGAAATTTAGAAATTTGGGAGTTTTTCTTAGATTGTCTGAAAGTAAAGTAATTAGCATTTTGGAATTACCTGATATACATACAGGAGTACCTAGTACAGGTCCAAATGTTCTAGCAGCACTGCCTGAGCTTCAAATCCCCGGAGAACAGACTTTCTGAGGGAGTATGTAGCCTGTTAGGATGTGACCTTTCTCCTCAGGAGGGTCCTACAGGAGCCCTCTGTAAGTCCCATCACAGAGGTGCCATTTCTTCAGCACCATAATTGCTTAATGAAGCTTGTTAAGAACACCATAAAAGATGACAAAGAACATTAATTTTTGTTTCCTGATTACTTAATGTGTAGATGGTATTATTTTCCTTTCCTTAATTTTGCCAAAGATACTCAGAAGTCATGACCAAGAAATAAGAAAAAAAATACAGAAACTTCTCCCCTCTCTCCTAGCTACCACTAGAAGTAAACATCCAGTGCCCTTTGGTGGTGACATTGTGGTAATAGCTCCTAAGCTGTTTTCACAAATAAGTGAAAATTAGTCCCTTTGAAGCTTTATTGAATAAATAAAACAGCGGCATCATTTTACTCTTTGTAGGGGTAACAAACAGAGACTTGGAAACTGAAGCAACTTCATTTTAAAACATAGTGAAATCAGCCTTTCACCCTAAATGTTTGACTGAAAAGTCTGACTTTCCCATTAAATCATGCCAGGCATCACTGCCTATTTTTCAATGCTTAAAAAAACTGACCTTATAAATTGAAGTGACTCAGCATCTATGACAGTTCATCTGGCAAGAAGCACAGGATTTTTAGGAAAAGAAGGTTATTAGTGTGACTATTTCCATCTGAATTGAGGTCATGGGTATTGCAGTTTCAAGAGTATTGTACTAGAATGCATAGTGGTTAGTCTCAGGAGGCCAGCTCACTCCAAAGCCTCTTTCTAAATCACAGTAAGCTACAATGATTTGATGTTTGTTCTGAATGAATTCAAGCAACCTTCTTTTCTACAGTCTTTATTGTCATAGTCTATAAGGGATGATCGAAAAATATGGTGAATACTAAACCAGTCTTGGTGAAAAATATGGTGAATGGGAGCTGGGGATTTAGCTCAGTGGCATAAGCGCCTGCCTTGCAAGCAGGCAGTCATGAGTTCGATCCCTGGTACTGATAAAAACGAAAAAAAAAAATAACATGAATATTAAACTATTACAGTAAAAGGTACATTGCCAAGATTGATGGCTGAATACCATGTACAGACACAAATTCCCTACCATGATTGTGGCCAGTATATATACCTAAATTGTACCAATAAACTTAAAAGCAAGAATGATGGGGGAAATGTATTCAAAAAGAGGGCAGATATTTTGAGAAGAATTAATGATAATGTGTCTTTTACCATAATGAATTTAAGCATTCACCTTAATATATTTTGTCATACCTCATATTTAGATATCAGTGTATCTTATAATAATTCTTTCTATGCCAACTTCCCCCTAAAATGGGCTTACTGCCCTTGGAGAAACATTTTAGACTTTAATTTATTCTTCTGAATAGCTGCTGGAATCTGCTTAATGGATTCCATTTCTTTCCTATGCTGGGCATTTATGGCTTCCATAACTTTCGTAAGCTCATTTATTTTTTCTGTGTATCTTCTCTAGAGTCACTAGGCATAGTCTTTATTGTGAACACCATCTCTGCACTTATTTGAGAAGTTATTTCTGATTTGATTTTTTTCCCAGAGCCTCATTCAGTTGCTTTGTTGTTTCTATTTCAGAAAGGTGAGGTGAAAGACCTTTGGATTGTCCCACCTCACTGTCCCCTTCCCTTGCCTTTGGTGAACTGAATGTCTGGGGTTGCATCTTTTTTTTTTTTTTTTTTTTTTAAGAGGAAAAAGAGAAAAACACAAAACAAAACAAAGCAGTGTAAGGTTACACATAATACAGAACTACAAAAAAAACATAACAGTAAGAAATCACCTGTTAATAGATTACATATTATCATCTTGGAAATAGTTGCATCTTGTTGAAGTGTACAGACTTTAATTTAAAGGGAAGGATACCCTATTTCAGTCTTTCCTTGCAGAGTGCTGTCGGCATGTGGAACAAGATAGTTCTTTACCTTATTGGACTGACATTCTGCAGGCTTCCCAACCAGTATTAAGTGCTGGTGATGGTCCCTAGTCGTTGGGACAACAAACTGCTCTTCTGCCTTTCCAAATACATCCTTGGCTCTGTGTGTGTACATGTAAACTTTGGGTTGATGTCCACGGTACTAATGAACATGCTTTCCTTACAGTTTAAATGGTGTATTCCAAATGTATATTGAAATTGTCAAAAATTAAATTGCTAGAACTTATCCTTTGAAATGTAATACCTCATTTTTGTGCATATTCTAACATATATTTAAATGTTTTTATTGTAGCCAAATATAAGCTACATTCAACAATGGTATTTTCAAAGAGATTTGAGAGGAGTGTTATAAACTTATTATTGTGACTTTCAAAGCCAGACTATCTACGTTTGAATGCTTGCTCTGTTACTAAGCTGGAGTACACAGTATTTATCATCTCTGTCTCTTTGTTTGCACAAAAAGACATTACTAGTATTCACCTTTCATTTTTGGGGAGGGGGCAGGACCAATGAGGCTATCACACATAAAGCATTTAACAGTGTCTCACATATAGTAAGAGCAATACAACATTCCCTGCTCTTATAAACTGGGTTAAGTAAAAAGCATATTTGTCCCTAATAGATAAGAGATCTTTTCATTGATTTGTTTTTGTAGAATTGTATAATCTTGGAAAAGTAGATTTCAATCTTGAGTTTAGTCTCCTCTGCATCTTTATTATGGCCTTCCAAACATCCCTTATCAGAATGATAGCATCTGATGTTTCTAAAATAATCATGTTAATCTCATACCAGTGTGACCCGTACTACTAAATACAGAAGTATTGAAATATAAAAAAAACCAATTAGTGACCCCTATTACCATTGCTAGGAATTGAGATACAGTCAGTGGAAGCTTGAAAAAAGAATAATTATTGAGATAAAGTTTTAGCAAATCATTATTTTGTGTTACCTGATTTTTAAAGATGAGAAATTGCAAAATATAAATAAAGAGAAAAATAAAAGGTAATAGGGCATAGGGAGATCTTTCTCAAATAAAAGGGGCATCATATGGAGGGAGGGCAGAGGGAGGAAAGGGGAAGAGTTTAGAAAAAGAATTAAGATGTTATGGACATGTACCAAGTCCCTGCAAGGGATGTGAGTATTATGTACTGTAAACATGTACTAATAAAAATAAAAATTGCTAGAAAAAGATGTTACATCTTGCTAGCAATAGGCTTGTCACTGAAAACTTCATAGTTTGCTTGCTTTGTAATTCCAGTTGTAACACTGTTGGCCAGCTTCCATGCTGACATCGTGTGTGGAGTCAACTGCTATGTATTTGAGAATCTTTATAGACATGACAGCCTTCGTATCAGATATTCATCTTATTCAGCCTTAGATTCAGCGTCAGTTCCATTTGGTGCTTTTTGTGTTTTAGTGAGTACTGTGTCTCCCCCTCCCTCCCCAGCACTCTGTAGCCATTCGATGATAGCACCAGGGTAACAGGAAGAGAAAAACTGCCCTTAAAGAAAGGTCGCGTTTCTCCAAGCCTATTCTGATGCCATGGCCCTAACAACATTGTACTTTATTACAAGAGGACATGAGTTACATGGGTGTCCTTCAGGAGAAGCTTAGTGAATCCAGGAGTTCTGAATTGCATTTTATCCTCTGGAGTAAAAGCACAGTTGGTACATATCCATCAATCCGAGTATAAGGCAGAACAGAAAGAACTATTAATCATCCCTACACTTGTACCTAAAGAATAAAAGCAACACTTGTTAAGAGCCTGCCACATAGTGTTTTTATAACATACGATTGTCAAGATAACTCTTCAAAACAGCTATTGTTTCTGCCCATTTTGTGGGGTTGTCTAAATAAACTACCGCAGTTTGTGTGTAAGATGCCATTTTTCTGCTTCCTTTCCTGAACTCCACATTTCCCACGTCTTGAACTCCTCCAGTGTCTAGGCATCCCTGGGAATGGTTCCTTTCAACTTACTGTGCACTTCCACAGTTCTCCCCAGTGTTCCAATCCTGTATTTGGTTATCGAATCTCTTCACCCCTCTCCTGTTACAGCTGACTGAACACAACAGAGTGAGCTGACTTGCCTACCAATGTCTTTTCCTTAGACCTTAGAGTTGGAGTTAACTTATCAGGCAGAAATCTTTTAAAATATATTATTTCATGGCTATAAAATACTGTATGTCTGTGAATAATGGCTCTGAGTCATGGAACACCACGGAATCCAGAGCTCAGTGGAAGAACTAGAAATCATCCTCGCCCTAGAATCTCCATGTCACTATCTCTCTAACCCACCCCTGCTCCAAGGCTAACCATTTACCAAATGTTGCGTTTACAGTTCTCTTGCTTACTGAAATATTTTTTCACATTCACATGTTTATATGAGGAGTTTAGTTAATCATTTGTGTTTATAGATATTTAATAATTTTTGTTGTATAGGGACCTGAAGGTCCTTTTTCATGTCCACCTGTTCTCTGTATAGAAGAACAGTAGAAGAGAGTAGAGGAATAAACTCAGAGGCAGCTACTTAAGCCTAGCAAGGGTCCTTTCCATGGCTACCTTCGCAGCCCACCAGCCACGTACTCGCTCGTGGCAGTACATCCTGCTGCTTGCCAGATCAGTTATCAAACCTTTTCCACTTCCACTCTTGCTCCCTAAAAATATATGTTCTGAATTCTAACCAAAGCTATTTTAAAACAGTTACATTATAATGTGTGACTAAAGTTTAAATTCTTTTTTGGGGGGATCAAACTCATGACCTGCTGCAGAGCTAAATCCTCAACCCCTAAAGTTTAAATTCTTAAAAATGTGTTACAGCAAAAGCATATTGCCATTCACCCCCCCCCAATTCTGTACTTTTTGCTTTGAATACACTTGATTTAGGAAATACTAATATGAGAATAGTGTACCAGATATAATTTAATTTCTTCCCCTCCTTTCCCTATAAATATTTAAAAATGATTCCAGAACAATACAGCCATGACTTATACCTATGAAAACATCAGTGCAACTACAAAGAATGTTTTTTGTCAGTTAGATCTTACTGTCAGCCACTAAAATGTTTTTCTTAATATATAAGACCGCAGTTCACATTCTCTCTGAAACAAGATTATTCCTAAATATCCAATTTCTTTTGTCTCCTTCAGGTCATCATTGGCTCTGTATTGAGTAACTACAGGTGCTGGTATTTGACATTATTTATTCCCCTACAAAATGCCAGCGTAGTGATAGCTGAACCCTTCAGCTTGAAACAGCAGGACACCGAGCCTTACTGTGTATGCTTTAGAATGCCTTGTTTTTCCATTAATGTTCTTCTCTCATCCAGTGTGCTCAATTAACAATGGAGGGTGATACCATTCCCTAGTTACAGTCAGGATATGTCTATCTACCTTTGATTATATTTGGACTGTGAACATATTCTGCTGTAGAACTGATCTCCCATGAAACCTGTTGTGTTTACAAAAGCTGTCATTTCTCAGTCAGATCAACTAAATACCCATTAAAACACCCAAGATTCCAGAGGACTCATGAAAATATCTACCTGATATTCTGTCTGTGCCTCATATAGTTCCACTTGATAATATTATAAGCCCAGGTTAAAGGAAAAAATGAATTAGGAAACTAAGGCATACTTTAAGACAGGAAAGAGATCACATTTTAGCTCCAGTGTTGTGCTCCAGTGTATTTTTAAATATTGATAGGGAAAGGAGGAGTGAAAATTAAATTATATCTGGTACACTATTCTCATATTAGTATTTCCTAAATCAGGTGTATTCAAAGCAAGGAGAAGTACAGAATTGGGGGGGGGGGTGAATGGCAGTGTGCTTTTTCTGGACCCTTTGTTCCTTTTCCTCCCACAGTTACATTTCTTGATAGAGACATAAAAATATTGTTGATTTAACTCTTGAATTTTTTGGCAAGCTCTATAAGGGCCAATCAATGCCAAATCAGAGGTATTTACAACACCCACAAATTTAATCCAAAGTGGATACTTAAAAGCTCGTATAGATCTAAATGATGTTCTCCCAGATGGTGAATTAATGTAATTTTAGCAGGAAGCAAAGTTGCACAAATATGCAGTACTGAGGACTCACACTGATTTAATGTATCTGTACCACCATGGTGCAGATGGTGCTGATCATTTTAGTGCCGGTTGTCTTTATTCCTCTGTATGCTACAAAAGGAAGAATAGAATTTGGGAGTTAAGCAAATTATGATATATTTTGTCACTAATGACTTTTTATAAATCAAAGTTTTCATTGAACTGTTTATAAAAGTCATAGTGGTTATATTCTTTTTTACAGGGTATGAAAGGTGACTTAGGTCCTCGTGGTCCACCTGGCCCAAAAGGAGAAAAGGTAATATTTTTAACCAAAAATATGACAATCTTAAGAAAACTGCAAAACTTCTTGCCAATACTATCTAATTGCCAAAAGTGTTTTAGAAGCCAGTGAAGCATCTGAACAAGAAGAGGCTTTTGGTTCATTAATTAGTTTGAAGAAACTAAATGCACTGCTGTTAGTTGACATCAACTTGTGTTTAGAGCTTTCACACCTGGGCCTAACAACATGAAATATTCAGTCACTAAATTAGCAAAGGTGTCTTGCGTGGGCTAACTCAGCTACAGACCTGCCCCTGTAATGAGGAAGCGGGGACTTTGTTAGGTGAAGGGGCTAACTCTGTGTCAAAGTCTTTGTCTAAATGCTGAATTTCCCTTCACTTTTTCCCACGTGCTGTTTTATGATGGTATATTGGTAGCAACCTTAAAAAGACTAGTTGGGAATTCAAAAATAAAAGCAAGAGTTACCTTGACTTACTGTGTTCTCTTTGGCAATAATATAATTTCATGGCTAGATTTTTTAGAGTCAAGCTACATTTTGAGCTCCAGGACCTCAAGGATATTTAGAATTTAGTATTCACCAAGCATTAGACATTAAGAACTAAGTTGTTAATTCACAACATCACTCATTTCAGAAATGAGCTAGTTGGTTGTACTAATATATGTAATATATGATGTGGTGTCAAATATGCTTTGGATGAGTGAAGAAAGATGCATAAGGAAAAAGTTATGAAAGTGAAGGAGGGAGGCTTATAAAACCTCTTGTGCATTGAGCTAAATCTGCTTGTATTGTGTTGAAGATATAGCCCTAGTCTGCTCATTTACATAACTGACAGTGTTTTAAGATGGAAATATAATAAAATGCATGCATTGTCAAAAAGAAGGCATGTCAAATAAGGTTATCAGGTGACCCCAATGTAACGGAATTTGTGTATGCATGTATGCGTTGCACTGTATTTTGTTCTCCCTTCTCAACAATTTAAAAATTCTTGTCAGTTTTAAATATTATCTGTACCTTAAAAGTGATCTTACAGGGGCTGGGGATTTAGCTCAGCGGCATAAGCGCCTGCCTTGCAAAGCAGGCAGTTGTGAGTGTGATCCCCGGTACCGATAAAAAGGAAAAAGACAAAAAAAAAAAAAAAAAAGTGATCTTACAAATCTTGTAACTGATTTAAGCTATACTGGTGTTCCTTAACAGTTATTTAAACTATAGATATGTACCTAAGCAATTGTTGATTATTTTTAATTCAGTTATTCCAAAAAATAATGTGCATCGCTGTATCTTTACTTTTGAGGCAGCTAAATTTGATGAGAAAAATCCTAAAGATACTCTCAATAGTAAAGTATAATGATATGAGCTCCATAATTTTCAACTGTACAAGAACCATGGCCATGATGCTGGATCTTAGTTACAGAGTGCTGATACAATAGAGTTCCTAAGACAACAGATCATAGAAGTGACAAAGAAATTAGAAAATAGAGAACCTTTAGCCATTTATAAAGATTTTGAATAGTTTGTCAACATAATACCTAGGAATTTGTAGTAACATGGATCAGCAAAGCAATTTCAGCATTTGAAAATATATCAATATTGGCAAAGCCTCTTCCAGTTGATGGCAAAGACAATGCCAACTCAGCAGAGCTTAGGCGAGGTCATGGGAACCATTCCTTGCAGCTGCGAGGCATGAAGTGGGGAGATCCATTTATTATTTCTGCTGAGCCTCATCCTAACTTTGTCAGAAAAATTATCTGTGACTGTAACACTTCCCAGCTGCTCTCTTGGCAAGTAACCATATTTGAAAAGATTTCTTTTCTAATTTTGGATTAGTAGTCAAAAGAAGAGCAAATAAGATTGTTTTGGCTTTTCAAAACAAGTTATACTATTGCAAAAAGCACAAAAGTGCAAAGACAATTTTTATATCACAAAAGCTGAAAGGCATATACTAAATTTCTTATTGTGCATATGCATAGACTTTTATCAAAACAAACTATATTCTGTCCTTCAAGGTTTATTGACAGATATTGCTTCTGTTCACTCAGAAACTTACCAGTAATATGCAGAAGGGGGCTAGTGATAATTTTAATTTTTCTGTCATCTATTTTAGGGAGATATGGGACCTCCAGGACCACCAGCCTTAACAGTAAGTATTCTTGAAAGCAAACTTCAACATGTATATGTTATCCTATTTATTATTCATATTGTATCATGTCTAAACTAGAATTTAATTCAGAGTATTACAAGCATTGAAAATAACCTTAAAGTACATTTTCCCCAAAACTTTATATTTTATTTTATTTTTTTCAAACTTCATATTTTAACAATAAGGCATCAGCTCTTTACAGTGAGGTGCTTGACCTGAGGTCATACAGGTAGTTACTATAAAACTCCATAATCAGCATCAAACCTCTGCAATTTTCTCTACCATTCATGAGTCATAACTATATCCCTTAAGTGTTTGATTATACATTTTTAATAAAAAGTGTACAGTAAAAGTAAATGGATGCAGACCATTCTACTTAGTATAAAAACTATAAAATGACAAAACAAACTCTAATCATCTAATGGATAAAGCAATGTCTTAAACTGGTTGTTACATTCCCTACACCTGTTCAAAACCATTGTTATTTGCCTATGTTTTGCTACTAAGATTTATAAATCAGGAGACGGTAGTATTTTAGAAACAGATTTATGAGAAAGATCTATGATAGTCACACAATCAGATTGTTCTCAATTGAATGACTTGTCATTTATTAAGCATTTAATCATACATATGTAATGGTTTTGTATTTTGATACAATACAATTACAGATCTTCATAGGACATTAAAGAGTCTCATTTAATTTAAGGATTTGGTCTAAGAAAAAGACCCTATAATCATTTTTAGCCAATAGTATTTCAGATTTTATGTTGATATTATCTAATGACATAAATTAAACATTTAGTCATCAGTATGGAAAGACCAAGTTCATACCAGAAGGTCAGGTTTATAGAAGTCTTTTGCTGATCCAGATGGAGCGTTTCCTATCAGAGAGGCATAGTGTCTCAAAGGCTATGTGATTTTGGCAACGTTCATACTTATTGTTGTACTTGAAATTCCTGTTATGAAAAAATAAATGGATAATATTTTATTCAGATAATCTTTGCAACTATCACTTAAAGGACAAATATTTCCTAATAGGTTTTTTAAAAATCTGAGGAACTAGACAGGAGATCTGCTTGGTCAAGACCAAATTCTATTTGTAATAGAATTCTGTGCTTTATGTTTTTCAAGATGGGACCAAAAACTATTTTAGAGGAAATTTTATGTGAATATTATCCATTTTTATACTTTGTGGATTCAAAAATTCTTTCAAAAAAACTTTTCGGCAGTGATTTAAAGTTATGCTTGCACATTTTATTCAAGATGAATGCTGTTTTCTAATTAGTTGTATGCTCAGCCACTTCACTTAGTTATTTGATTTCTGAGTCATTTTCAACTCTTGGTTGAAGACCATTATGCAATACCTGTGTATTGTCTCCCCTGAAAAGTGACCTTCACTCTTCATTCAGAAAATTGCATGGACTACATGTACTTTGTGGATCTTTCATAGCAACTGATTTATTTCTGCCCATCTCTACCTTGTAGATCTCTGCCCCAGTTAGCTGGGATGGATTTAGACAGCCCCAGCTAAGTTTTATACTTCTCCAAGAACATAACAAGGTGCAAATACTATGAAATGAAATAAAATAAGTGTTATTTTAATATCACCATACTATTTTACAAGCTTGCAATTACTTCCTTAATATAGACAATCAGCTGTTACCTATAAAGTAAAAAGGAGCTGAAATGAATAGCAAGTTACCATACACTAAATATTTAATGGATCTCATAATGCAGGTTAATGTATTATTAAATGAAGTAATTGATAACAGTCTTCTAAAAGCCAAAATGACTGACTGCACTATTTTTGGATTAAATGAGACAGTGATATAGAGGAACTGGGAGACTTAGAATTCATCCATACTTATTCTCAAAACTAGCTGCACATTGAAATCTACTGCACAGCTTTAAAATGCACAGATGTGGGGACTATACCCTGAAAATTCTAGTTCACAAGATCTAATGTGGGACCGGTGCACTTTAAAAGCACTCCAAGTAAATCCAATATCATAGCTAGACTTGAGAACCATTGTAACTAATAACGGAGCAAACTTGCTTCCCACTCAGAAAATGCCTTTAGACTGCTGGAGAAGTCTACCTTTCATCTGAAATCCAACTTAATGTACAGTAATAAAGAAACATCTCTTTCCATTAGGGAGGAATCCTAGTAAAACTAAATTAAGATTGAAGCCTGCTTGGTTAAAGAAAGGAATTAGGGCTAGAAATATATTTAACCCAGTCATGGGAGTATTTCTTAATGCATCTCAAAATTTAACGAGTATGGGAATCATTCAGGGTCTTATTCAAATGCATATTTTTATCCTGTAAGTCTAGGGTGTAGCCTGGAAATCTACATTTTTAGCTGGTTCCTGGAAGCCACTGCTCTTTGGATCAAACTTGGAGTCACAGGGTTTAATACTCTTTCTTCAGCTCACTGTCTTGTTCCATAGATCAGCACTTCTCCATCTGATTGCACATCAAAATCATCCAAAGAGCTAATTTTCAGCCTGTAATAGAAGGCAGTAAAGTCAGAATCTCAAGAGATGGACTCAAACAGCAGTCACTTTAAATTTTTCTCAAGCAGTTCCTATGTGTAGGCTGAGTTTGTGAACTAATGCCCTGAAAGCATGTCCAATAATTCTTTATACAGCTTGTTTTCAATTCTTGACAATAAATTATAGCATTGCTTATTGTATCAACATTTGTATCAAAAATAATCTAGTTACTACTTTCATGAGCTTCCAGGAGATGCCAGGCAATAATACTTAATATTTAGATCCTAATTATTTCATTAGTAAGGATGGATTTCCTCTTTCACATTTACAAGTCATTAGCAAGTCCAACAAAGATTTTTTTCTTAAGAACGTAAGCATTGGTAACTCGGGTACATAGAATCCACAGGCTTTCTGATGATACACAGCTGAACTGCTTGGATAACTAAGGTGATAGGGCTGAGCACTTCTTTTGACCTCCCTCTCATTCCATTTTTTACTTTACTATTATTTAGTATGAAATTTTGAAAAAGCAGAGAGAAATAGAACTGTATCTTACGTAATCTCAGTTACTGAAGCAGGGCCAATTCCTGTTTGATGCAGATTTTCATGGAAGATTGTGTTTATTGCAGTTGCTTTGGTATCCTGTGAATTGCTATGCTTTGTCTTTTTAACTTAAAGAAGTCACAAAGAATGAGGTCATCATTCAAATCTGTTTTCATTAAATGTTACTTTTGTTATTAGTGCTTTCTCTTGTAAGTGGTTACATATCATTGGGTCTCAGTGAGAGAAGAATAAAGAAATGAGATATAAAAGGAATGAGTGATAAAGTTAAGGAAATGATATAAAACTCAGACTAGAGAATTAAAAACAAATTCATCAGATAAATTCAATCACAGCAGCTCTTAGCCTTTGATTCACCACTTTTTGCGCAACTTTGGATTATTCTTACAACTACTGACCTCTTAGTAAGCATCATCCAAACTGGTACCATGGTTTGCAAATGTAGTGTGAACTAAATTCTTTTCATTAGTCGAGGAAATCTGATCATATGCAAAATTCCACAATCAGTGGAATCGCATTATAATCCATTATAATTCATCCTCAGAAGTCATAGACAGAAAACTGCTAGATGGAGAGGGGAAAAAAAGTCAAAGGAAGAAAGGGAGGCAGGGAAGACCAAGACAAGGAGGGGGAAGGAGAATGTAGAAGGAAAAATCTGGGTCCCGCAAAATGTCGTGGAGACTAGAGTAATAATTATGGTCTTGTCACATATCTTTAACCATTAAAGAATATCTACTTAGCTCAAAAAATTGAATGATGCACTTTGATATGACATTTATAAAGTTACAAATCTTCTCAGTTGCTTCTTTTATTTTGGAGCCTTTCCAGTGATTCTAACAACAAAAAGTTAAGGAACAAATTCAAGAGCCATTTTGTGAATATGTTAATTGGAACATCTGGAAAGTAATTTATCAACCAGTGTCCAAGAATCTTCCCTAAATACATTTTTTCCTTTACAATATGTCCTAGTGTAATACGGCAAGGAAAAAATCAAACTCCTTCCAGTTCAGAATTATCCATATATATGCTTGTCACTGTAAACCCTTTTCCAGTTTGTCTCGTTAGTCCTATTTTCAGCAAACACAGCTGGTTGAAATTTTTAAAAAATTTAATCAAATCACTTTGATTTCAGCCTCTATTTGGAGCATGCCAAATTTGCAAATTAGTTTGATACTAAATTGATTATTGTATAAACATAAACTATTATAGAAGCTTATGATAAATATCATTTTGAGGTTCTAAAGAAAGAAATATAAAGTTTAGCTACCTGATTTAAGTTAATCAATCATGCTTTCTGTATCTTTTTTGCATATAAAACTGATAATCATTTTAAAATAGCACAAACTGTTCAATTTAACCTAAATTACTGACAAGAATAGTGATAAATTCTAAACATTCGTGTGTGGGGGTGCTAGGGATCAAACCCAGTGCTAAACTGAGTATTCTACTGCAGAGCCATGTTTCCAGGTCAGTGGAAGACATTTTTGAAAGTTTATTCTATGCTATCTAAGCCATTCTTGAAGCAATCCTGAGAAGATAAAATAATTATTACTGCATTGCATATGGAGGAATTTAGGACTAGAAAACTAAATAACCTACCCAAGGTTACAGAGACGGTAAGCGACACAGCTAACATTCAAATACCCAGTGCACTGGTGCTCAGAGTAATATTTCTACTGCAAAGAATCAAATTCAAATTAAATGATGCTTAGAGATTATTTAATCTAGAAAACATAAGCTCCATGATTTATCTAAAATAATCAAGTATTAGCAGCCTATATTTGCTTCAGATTATTTCAACAAATTATTAGATGCTTTTATTTTTCTTTTTTTTGCTCTAAAAGATGATGATGAAAATGACTCGTATATATGCAGCTAGAGTAAGGTTACACCTCGCATCTTTTCATTAACAAGCATCATATTTTTATGCAAATAAATCTTTGC